TATTGTTCCAAAAACAATCTCATTCTCAATTCAAATGTTTGACTCTCAGCTACTTCTTAATCCATCTTCAAGCAGGAGACTAAACTCTAATGCACAGCATTTACTATTACAGACCTCAGTACTTCACTACAGCAATGAAGCATGTCCCACCCTGCAAAATAATTGCATGTCCCACAAAACACAACACAGCAAAACTCTGCTCCTAGTCCTTTTAAAATTGATGGAAAAGTTTCCATTGATTTCAGTGGAAACAGAATTAGTCCTAAATCAGCAGATGAAAATTTGATTATTATATGGTGTGACGCTGGTTCTATGTCCATAACTGAATCATCCCCAGGAGCCCAAGGGTATATCTTAAGCACATCTATACTGACTTTTTCTGCACTGTCATAGGTAAGTCACTTTTTGCATTATTTCTACGATAGTGCTTTGCACTGGTGTAGCAAAAACCTGCACTGGTTGGGAAAAAAAAAAAAACAGTAGTGCAAGGCCTGAGATAACATATTTTTGTCTGATAATTTGAACTATTTCAGGAGTCTACAAAAATGCAAAGCTACAATATATAATATATGCACTATGAACCAGATTCTATAGCATCAATTGCAGTTCTGCACAGAGTGGCTACAGATTCAAGCCCTGTGTATTGGAGATTATATTCAGTATTATTCTCGCTAACTCAATTTGTTATGTATAATGGGCTTAAGGGAGTGCTTAGGAGTAATCATAAAATGGTAAGATTCTCTTTTCTTAAAGTCAGAAATTCAGAGTTGAGCAGTCCTTGCAGGGACTCATTTTTATGACCATAAAACTATTTCTAAGCACATCTAAATGTTCTAGATGTTTTTAAAACTGTTTTATGTACAAAGGCACTCTTAGAATAATAAGAGGTCCTCAAGCACTTGGAAAAGCTCTGTTCTGCTTTCCCATCTGTGTTTAAGTGATTTATGACTTCATAAATTATGAAGTATGCTTAGAAATACTTTCACTGTTAATAAAACTGTCTCCTTGTATATCTTCAAGGTGCCTAAAATGATTAACTGTTTCTTTGTTTGTTCTGCTACCCATATTGATGGATAAGCCTCATGCAGAAAAAAAATATTTTTGCACTTGTAAATATCATTTAAAACTCCCACACTCTTCTAGACCCCCCAGTAAAAAATATAGGAACTCAAAGAAAGTCCCCAAAAATTCACACTGAAGAAATCATGTGCCGTAGATCAGGGGTTTGCAGTATTGTAGCCGTGCTGGTCCCAGGATACCAGAGAGACAAGGTGGGTGAGGTAATATCTTTTATTGGACCACCTTCTGTTGGTGACCTGAAGAAGAGCCCTGTGTAGCTTGAAAGCATGTCTCTTTCACCATCAGAAGATGGTCCAATGAAAGATATTACCTCACTCACCTTGTGTCTCTAGATCAGAGAGGTGTCATTCTGTGCAGGGGCCAAATCCCATATTCAATTATGATCTGTGGGCACGGTATAAATTTAGGATTCCATACTTCCTGCAATCTACAGCAATCTTCCACTGATGCCATTGGGAGGTTAGCAGAGAACCTGACCTTTTAATAACTAAACTTTTAGGTGGTGTTTGTTCAGAACCTTACACATTCAGCATTGTTCAATGCGAAAATCTATTCTTCTGTAGGACTACCACCATATCTGCCCTTTATTTCTCTTCCTTCCTGCTCTGCTGTCTATGTTTTTCTCCATTTTCCCTGTCTCCTTTGTTCTTCCCTTTGCATTTCCTCTTCCCTGCAGCTACTCCCATTTCCCACCTCCCAACTTAAATAGCTGATGTTGACACAGAAGTATCATCATTGGGCTTTAGGGAATTAACACTTCAGAGTTATTGTCTGAAGCTTTCTGAAGATGCAGGCAGACATCAGGGCATCGGTTAGATTCCATTCAATTTGGAAAGTTTGAAATTTACTAGAAATTTTCTTCTTTTTTAAAATGAAAGCTGAGACTATGTCCTGTAGATCATAGGTTGTATATGTGACACCCCTGGCCTGAATACTATATTAAATATTATATTATTATTATTATTTGTCTTTTGGAAGCAATAGGAACCCCCGTCTGGACCAGGACCCCATCATGGTAGGCTCTGTACAAACACATAATAAAATTATAGCCCTTTCCCCAAAAAGCTTACTGTTAAAACAAGTCCAAACACACTGAAAAATGCCTATTAAAACTTTTTATCATAATCTCACATTATGGACACTTTCCAGACATATGATCAAATGGATTAATGACCTCAATACAGAAATGCAGAGATACCCTCAACTTCTTTATACTATTGCTCGTATACAAAACCTACTTCTACTGAGAACATACTGTAAAATATGGCTATTTGGGCCACCTAGAAAAGATAAATTTAGTAATCTGAAAATAAAAGCCTTAATAAAAAAACATTTTTATTAATGCTTTCTTTTGTTGTTGATTATGAAAAAGAAACGTCTCAGCTATGCTCTGCATCAGTCACTGTTCCTCAAGTACCTATGTACAATTATTCACTTGCAAAAACCAGTTTTGTTTGGTTTTAACTCTCACTTGTCATGTCACGTTAAATGTAGGCCCCAATCACACATGCACTTAGACCCCAGTCCTTCAAACCTCACAGCAGTACAGTTAAGCAAATGGGTAAATATCGTCAAGATCAGAGCCTTACACCAGGACTACTCAGGTGTGTGCAGTTAAGCATGTGCATAAGAGCTTGCAGCTGCCCTGATTCTGCAAGCTACTCCATCTGTGAGGCGCCCCAGGAACTGACTGGAGCACCCTGTGGGTACGTCCAAACAAAACAGTTTGTAAGATCAGAGTGACAGACCTAGGGTCCCATTTTCTGACAGAGACCTGGAATCACCATCATTTCTACCCTTTGCTAATGCTTTTACTTAACATGTTTCCTTTTACCCAGTTCTCCATCATATGGGAATCCCTGATCTCTATAGGCACGATGAAAGGGACTCCACCACCCTTCCTTCTAGTATGGGATTCTTGGTGTCTAAGCGGCTGGGTGAGAAGATTCCTCCCCACCACAGGCGCACCCACCTCAGAAAAAGTAATGGAATCCTTAGTCTCTGGAGAACTGGTTAGAGGAGATACCCCTGCCCCTCCCAATATAGGATCCCTTGTCTCTATAGGCTGAATAAATGGGATTTCCCCCCAAAATATGGGGGTGGACAAGGACATTCCTATGGGGCTAAACAAAGGGGCTGGTCCCACAGGGGCTAGAGGAGGGGGTTCCATAAAGTGGCTAAACAAAGGGGCTGGTCCCACTGGGGCAAGAGGAGGGGGTTCCTGTGGGGCTAAACAAAGGGGCTGGTCCCACTGGGGCAAGAGGAGGGAGTTCCTGTGGGGCTAAACAAAGGGGCTGGTCCCACTGGGGCAAGAGGAGGGGGTTCCATGAAGGGGCTAAACAAAGGGGCTGGTCCCACTGGGGCTAGAGGAGGGGGTTCCTGTGGGGCTAAACAAAGGGGCTGGTCCCACTGGGGCTAGAGGAGGGGGTTCCATGAAGGGGCTAAACAAAGGGGCTGGTCCCACTGGGGCTAGAGGAGGGGATTCCTGTGGGGCTAAACAAAGGGGCTGGTCCCACTGGGGCAAGAGGAGGGGGTTCCATGAAGGGGCTAAACAAAGGGGCTGGTCCCACTGGGGCTAGAGGAGGGGGTTCCTGTGGGGCTAAACAAAGGGGCTGGTCCCACTGGGGCTAGAGGAGGGGGTTCCATGAAGGGGCTAAACAAAGGGGCTGGTCCCACTGGGGCTAGAGGAGGGGGTTCCTGTGGGGCTAAACAAAGGGGCTGGTCCCACTGGGGCAAGAGGAGGGGGTTCCTGTGGGGCTAAACAAAGGGGCTGGTCCCACTGGGGCAAGAGGAGGGGGTTCCTGTGGGGCTAAACAAAGGGGCTGGTCCCACTGGAGCAAGAGGAGGGGGTTCCTGTGGGGCTAAACAAAGGGGCTGGTCCCAAGGCACTGGGCAGAGGAGGGGGTTCCTGTGGGGCTAAACAAAGGGGCTGGTCCCACTGGGTGGGGGGGGTTGGACGCTGTCCCACTGGGGCAAGAGGAGGGGTTCCTGTGGGGCTAAACAAAGGGGCTGGTCCCAGTGGGGCTAGAGGAGGGGGTTCCTGTGGGGCTAAACAAAGGGGCTGGTCCCAGTGGGGCTAGAGGAGGGGGTTCCTGTGGGGCTAAACAAAGGGGCTGGTCCCAGTGGGGCTAGAGGAGGGGGTTCCTGTGGGGCTAAACAAGGGGCTGGTCCCAGTGGGGCTAGAGGAGGGGTTCTGTGGGGCTAAACAAAGGGGCTGGTCCAGTGGGGCTAGAGGAGGGGTTCTGTGGGGCTAAACAAGGGGCTGGTCCCACTGGGGCTAGGGGAGGGGTTTTGGGGTAAACAAAGGGGCTGTCCATGGGGCTAGAGGAGGGGGTTTGTGGGTAAACAAAGGGTGGTCCCATGGGCTAGGGGAGGGGGTTCCTGTGGGGCTAAACAAAGGGGCTGGTCCCACTGGGGCTAGAGGAGGGGGTTCCTGTGGGGCTAAACAAAGGGGCTGGTCCCACTGGGGCTATGGGAGGGGGTTCCTGTGGGGCTAAACAAAGGGGCTGGTCCCACTGGGGCTAGAGGAGGGGGTTCCTGTGGGGCTAAACAAAGGGGCTGGTCCCACTGGGGCTAGAGGAGGGGGTTCCTGTGGGGCTAAACAAAGGGGCTGGTCCCACTGGGGCTAGGGAGGGGTTCCTGTGGGGCTAAACAAAGGGGCTGGTCCCACTGGGGCTAGAGGAGGGGGTTCCTGTGGGGCTAAACAAAGGGGCTGGTCCCACTGGGGCTAGGGGAGGGGGTTCCTGTGGGGCTAAACAAAGGGGCTGGTCCCACTGGGGCTAGAGGAGAGGGTTCCAGGAAGGGGCTAGTCCCACTGGGGCTCCACGACCGGGCTCCCAGGCCCAGCGGCGGGGATTCCCCCGCACAGACCCGCTCTGTGCTGTGGGGGCAGCGGCCCCTGCCGGCCGAGCGGGGATAGGCGTCTCCTCAGCAGCCGGCGCCGCCGCGCGGGCGGGTGTCAGTGCCACGGTGTCTGTCGGGGAGGGAGAGCAGGAGGCTGCCTGGCTGCGCCCCTAGCCCGATCCCCGCGGCCAGGCGCCCCGCATGCAGCCCTCACCCTGGAGCGGAGGCGGCGGATCGAGGAGCTCTCGCGATCCTCCCGGCAGCGGCTGCTCCAGTCCAGGGACAGGATGTTCTCCAAGCTCACCTCCATCCTGCAGCACGCCGTGGAGGCGGTAAGGCCGCCGGCCGGCCCGGCCGCGCCACACCGGGGATCCAGCTGCGGCCTAGTCGAGGAGCGGGGCCGCCTGGGGGAACGCGCCCGCTGATTGCCCCGTTGCTCCCCTTCCGCGTTGCTCCCGCTCCGTGTCCCCTCGTCCCACCCAGGATCCCGCTGCCGGGGAGGGAGGTGACAGAGGTGGGGGCGCGATCCCCATTGTCCCCCTTCCTGTGCCTGCCGGGGGCGGCTGTTACGGCCCCTCCCCGCCACCCCCCTGCCGCCCGGGGAGCGGTCCCCCTTTGGCCTGCCCCCAGGGCAGAGCGGCGAAGGATGGGGTAGCTGCCTGTGGGGGTCCCGGGCGGGTTGAATGGGGACCGATGCTATCCGCACTGGCCCCTTCCCCAAGGAAGGGGTGAATTTACCCTCCCCACCGCGGGGAGCGAGAAGGGGGCAGCTGAGGGCAGCCAGGACACGCTAGGCCCGTTGAGAGCAGTGCCCCCAGGGTCACTGGCATAGCCCCCTTGTCCCCGGCAGCGAGCGGGGAGAGGCGAAGATCTCTCTCTCGGGCCTTGGAGACGGGCTGAGAAATTCCCCAGAGGCCCAGCCACCGGTAGCGTCGTCGATAATAACACCCCCCCCCCCCCATTAGCCCAGGCAGAGAAGTAGAGGTGCATCTTCCCCCCCCCCCCCCCACGGGATTTTAGAGCCAGCGTGGAGCAGTCACTGACCAGTATTCACATTAATAGCTCCCCTTTCTTTGCCCCAAGGCAGAGGTGAGGATGCCTTTAGGAGGAGGGTTGTTAGTTATTGTTTCTGAGTGCCTAAAAACATGCTGGGTGCTTTACAGACCCAAGTAAAGCTACAGCTGGGTTAGGGGAGCTGCCCCGGATTTTCTTGGTCAGTGTGGTGGTGTAGCAGTGTCAGGGTCTCTCTTTGGTTTCCTGCACAGTTAACAACCTCCAGAAATTCTGCTTTTTAATACATAAACTTTTTTGTTTTAAATGTATTGACTGAAAAAATCAAACTGGATTTCTACCAGGCTAAGTCAGTTGCATAGCCTCCAAAAAGGTTACATTTTGGGAAGTTAAGTAGCAGGGCCCATTTCTCAACTTGCTGCTTTTGCAGACTATGTAGCTATGATTTTTTGTCAAGATGGCTTTATTTTGTCTTCGCTATTTGCATGTTGTATTTGCTTTTCACAAGATCCAGATTTTTAAATTAGTTTATGAATTTGCATAGCTTTTCTCACTGACCTATAAGTCTTGATTTGTCTTTCTTTACTGTATTTTTTTATTTATCTGTGAAAAGTGTTTTGAGATAAGTGACTTACTATACTATATTGACAACTCTATGAACCTGTAAGGCCCTGATCCTGCAAACACTTATACATATACTCAGATTTAAGTACCTGAGTAGCCCCATGACTTCAGTGGGCATAAGTGTTTGCAAGATTGGAGCTTGAAACACTACAGCCTTAGTTTAGATGTTAAAGATGGGCAGTGAATTGGTAGGAATAATCATAAAATTTATTAAAGTAACCCTTAAAATGTTCTTAGAGAGGAAAACTGGTCTGCCTTAAAGTTGTTAATACCTGATGGGAGATGCACGTTCAGATGTGATCCTTCAAAATTTTACACACATGCTTAGCTTTATGCATGTGAGTACTCACATTGATTTCAATAGGACTGGTCATGTGTAAAATTAGGCTCATATTTGTTTTCAAGATCATCTTCTTCCTGAGGGTATTGTTTTTAAAACTATAAAACCACCAATGAGTGAAGTTTTTTAAAAAGATGGTGATTTCAATGAAAACACTGTGTTGGTGACCTGTACAAATACCATAATAAATAGAAGATTTATGTAGGACCAACAAATATTGGACGCGTGAGCCTGGAAACAGTATTCATGTGAGCAGTTTCATTGTCTTCAGTGGAACTACTTAAGTGAGTAAGGGTGGCAGGATTGGGTGAAAAACTTTTATTCTTGTTGGCTCTGCAATGAAAGTTAACTAATAAATATTAATTCCCAGAACTGGGCTTATATGATTGTTTACTTATTTGTGTGCCAATATAATCAAAAGTGCCTATGTTTATTTTAGGGCCACAAGCAATACTAAGAAAAATCAATATGCGTATCAGTAAAGATATTAAAAGCTATTATAAGCAATTAGAGGGTAAAACAATAAAAATAAATTAAATTTAAAAAAAAATGGGAAGCATGTAATTTTGTGACTGCTATAAACCAAAACGCTCACCTCTTTGCATCCTGTTTACAAGTTGAAGTCCTCATCCTGTGTCTCTTAGTCTTATGAGTAAGCTCAACAAGTATTGTGGGGCTACTCACAGTAGTAAGTATTATGTTCAGTAGTATTTGCATGATTAGGATATAAATAGTAAGAATTATAATGGTAAGAGTAAAAAGAAAAGGAGTACTTGTGGCACCTTAGAGTGAATGGTAAGAGTGAAACATGAACTCACAGAAGTGAGAGGATATTGAGCATGGCTACAACTTTCTCTTTGAGAGGTGTGTGGTACAGTATTCTAACCACAGTACTGAGACCCAGAAACTTCTGATTTCTAATCCCAGTTGTTACTCCTTTGTGGTCTTAGTGCAATGTGTCCTGGAAGTCAATAAACCCTGGACTATGTCAGATCAAGCAGGTGGGAAGGAAGGTTAGCTGGCTCCAGAGCAGTTTAGAATCACCTTCTATTTGTAAGGTCTATAGCAGTGGTTCCCAAACTGGGATTCACAGAATGTTAGTTACAGGGGGTTTGCCAGAAAAATTTCACTAATGATGGCCAGAGGACCCCGGGCATTGGAGGCAGCAGGTGGGACAGCCGGAACCCCAGGGAGAGCGGGGCAGGACAGTTTGGGCTGGCAGCCCGAGCCCTGTCCCCATGAGCGGGGGAGCCAGCAGCCCGAACCCCAGCACTCCACGCAGGGCTGGCAGCCTGAGCCCCAGGGAGAGCGGGGCTGGGCAGTTGGGGCTGGCAGTCCGAGCCCTGGCAGTCAGCGGGACCTGCAGCCCAAGCTCAGTGGAGCTCAGTTGGCCAGAGTGGTCAATGGGGTCCGGCAGCAGGAGCCCCACGGAGTGCAGAGGAAATTTAAACTTAAATCCCTGGAAATATTCATTTTTAGGAGGGGGTTCATGAGATTTCACAATTTAGTGAAAGGGGTTCGCAGGCTGTTAAAGTTTGGGAACCACTGGTCTATAGAAACAGGATTTTCAGAACACGTTGGGGCACTCGTGCCTTATCCTTCCTGTGGAAGTGATCCATGCCTGATGCTACAGAGGCAAATGTTCTCTACTTTACCAGTAAAGTTCATAGGTACATTCTACAGTACGGTGGAGAGGGATAGTGCTTTCCTGATCCCTTCAGGCATGCAGTTTTATTCGCTTTCGTAATGCTCCTGTCCTGCCCTCTAAGTACAGGAACAATTAACTTTAGAAACTGAGGGTACATCTACACTACCCGCCAGATTGGCAGGTAGTGGTCGATTTATCAGGGATCGATTTATCGCGTCCAGTGTAGACACGATAAATCAATCCCTGATTGCTCTGCCGTTGACTCCTGTACTCCACCACGGCGAGAGGCGGAAGCGGAGTTGATGGGGGAGTGGCGGCAGTCGACACCTCGTGTCTTCACAGTACGGGACTTCAGCTACGCTATTCTCATGGCTGAAGTTGTGTATTTTAGGTCGATATTCCCCTCCCCTCAGTGTAGACCAGGCCACATATTCCTATAGTCCGAGTTTCCAGCTTGCAAGGTAACAGTTGATTAACTTTATTATCTTAGCTTTCACATATGAAATAATAATCGAGCCACAGTGACTGACTGTGTGACCTATGGCAAGGAATTCCAAAGGTTGACCGTACACAGTGTGTAATCATTTGTTCCAACTGTACTGCCCTTTAAATAATTGATTATCCTCTTGTTCCAACATTGTGATGGGGAAAAAGTAAGGGGCCAATCATTTTTCATTTTGCTTTCTTAATTTTGAATATCTTAATCAAAATATCCTTTAGTCTTTTTCCTTTGCTGTCTAAATAATTCTAGTTTGTGGATGCTTTCTAAACAGATCTCTTCTGTATCTGCTGAAGCTCTTTATAATACAGTCTTTAAAAAATCCTAATTTTTTGCAGTCTCTTATCACCTGTAAATCCTCCCCCGTCTCAGCAGCTATCTTTGCTGCCCTTCTCAATCCCTGCAAAGATGAAGACAGTAATCCAGATGAAGATCCACCACTGTGTGATGTATTACGCTGATAGAATGATCATAACTATAATAGCCAAGTACAGTAGTGCCATCTTAAGACAGAGGCATCCTTGAATTTGATTTTGTGTGTGAGTTTTCCTGTTGTTTTGTGTTGTTTTAGGTTCAAATTCTTAGTGGGACTACAGGTATTTGATAGGGTTGATTGGTATGTTCCAGAGAGTCTGTCACAGGTTTGTTACAAACAGATGTTTTTACCCTGCCGTTAGACAGATGTGCTCCCTACCGGTGTATTTGTGTCTGACTAATCCAAACAGTGTTGAATCTTCAGGGCTGCCAAGAAGTGAATGACAATGCACAGCAAATGGGGTTTCAAGTTGTTGGTTTTTAGCTCTCTTTTTTTCCCCTATACTCCTCACTTCTGTTTTCATAGAAAGAAATTGAATCTCGAGCACGTATGTGCTCCATTGTTTGTTTGGTCCAGGTTATGTCAAGATTGATTCTGCAAATTGCTAAGGGCTTGTCTACACTTAAAATGCTGCAGCTGTACCTCTGCAGCTACACCACTATCGCGCTTCAGTGACACGCTATCTGTGCCAACGTGAGGGGCTCTCTGTCAGCGCTGGTAAACCACCTCACTGAGAGCTAGTAGCTAGGTTGATGGGAGAATTCTCCAGTGCTGTCTACACTGAGGGTTAGGTTGATTTTTTCAGACCCCTGAGCGACACTAATTTCCTCATGTAGACCAGGCCTCAGTCTTTTTAAATACTAACCTTTGGGGCTTTTAAGAGATATTTACATG